TTATATGAAAAGAGTATTGTATTCACTTGTGAAAGAACAAATTCAGTTTACACAGAATAAATGTTTTTCATGGAATAAAGTCCAGTTAAAAAGTAAACAGTACTTTGTTATTCTTAATTAACCAAAATTATTTAACATCAATCCTGTGCACTGCTTTCAGTTGTTGATTTAGATATGTTACAAATTTAGAGTTTGGCAACTTGCACTGTGGCTATCTGTTTAGGATGTCCTTTTCCATGGAGAACTTTCTGGGGAAATCTGCCTCATATTCTGTATTACAAATGTATAAATTTACAAAAATACCCATGCTTTTTTCTTCCAAATGACTACTTAAAACTCGTGCTAATCCAATAAATCTTTGGCAATGTTGTGCTTTGGTATAATCTTGAAGGGAGTTATTTTCTTTTTTTGCATCTGACATACTGATATTAAATTGAGTAATGCAGTTTGAAAGGCAAGCAAAATCTGTTAATTTATCTAAAGCAAGTGATATGTTCGAAAAAAAAATTAAGCGCTGATAAACTAAAGAATATTGGAAATGTATGAAAAGTAATTTAACCAAAAAAAAAGAGAGAGAACAAAGAAAAGGCAAAAACACTATACAGTTAAAATGCTAACTAAAAGTATGAAACAATTTTTGCAATTAAATTTGCAAGGAATAAGAAAATGAATATGCTTCTTACAAGACTTTTTGGAATAAAATTCTTTGTAATGTAAAATATTGCGCGCGTGTGTGTGTGTGTGTGATTATGGCAAAGCCTCGAGGGCTATCTGCTTAATGGGAGGGATGCCTTTGTGGAGGACTTTCTAAGGCAAACTGGCTCGTATACACGTTACACATGGGGAAAACCACGAAAACGCCCATACAGCCAGCCCTTTCGTGGGATTCGAACCTCGGACCGAACTACCAGTGTTCAGCGACTTTACCGCTCAGCCGCTGGTGGGCTCATGTAAAATATTGCATCTAATATATAAATGTATACTAAATTTTATAAATGGCATAAAACTAAATTACACACTTCTGAATATTATTGTAATTTTCTGGGTTGAAATCTCAAAGGAGGAATAGCTATGTGTATGTTTTGATTATAATTTAATAGACAGATTTCAGTTTAATATTCAATAATTAATAATTTATGGAAATGCTTCATTGATTATACAGAATAAATAAAAAAACTATTTTTTATTTTTAACAGATATAGTACGTATATTTACGCATGTTTTGTAGTTACTCACAGTTTTATGTGGTGGCAGCCCTGATTTGTGTTGCCTGGTGATTGCGATACCTTTATATATATAAGCGGCTAAAGTGTGTGTCGCCGATAGTTTATTGTTGCCACTTAGAAAAATGAGTGCGGAAATTAATGTTTCCACAGTTTTTAATTAATATCTCGGCCGATTAAAGTCGTACGAAGATGAGAACAGTATTGATAAATTCAGAGAATTTTTTGGAATCCGAAGATATGCGTTTTGAATTTCAACACGGCGCCGTTCCGTAGATATTCGAGAAAAAAAGAAATTGGCACGTAGCCAAATCCCTCTACAAGGGAAAACCCAAGGAAAAAAGTGGAAAATTTAGGGAAAACATATGGGAAAATTAGTTTTTTTAATTAATATCTCGGCTATAGTCTAAGTCCCAAGAAGACACGAATGGTCAAAATGGCGTGCCATGGACCTGCGGAATCCAACAGTGTGCTTCACTAAGCCCGGGAGCCAGCTGTTTCGGAGGAGATGGTGTTACTCCACCCCATATATATATATATATATATATATGCGGCTTAAGTGTCTGTTTGTCCCCGATAGTTTATTAGTTGCTTGCGTAACTGTACTACCCAATGGGGTGACATTGCCACGGCACAAGGTTGCCATTTCAGTTGAGACGTAGACAATTTCCTCTACAACTTACCTTTGCTATGACCATCAATAAGTCTCAGGGCCAAACGCTTAAGTGTGCTGGCATTTTTTTACCTGAGCCTGCATTTGGACATGGTCAACTTCATGCTGCCTGTTCAAGAGTTCGTGAAAGAACGGACGTAAAATTAAAAATGATGGAAAGATCTACACAAGAAATGTTATGTACAAAGAGATCTTTGACATGTGAATTAACATTTTATTATTTAAATCACCTTTATTTATTGAGCTAGAGCTTTATTAATGTATTAGAGCTAGAGCTTTATTTGTATTAGAGCTTTATTAATGAGACCGCCAATGGTTTCCTTCATTGCACTCTACTTTAAGCAAGTAGAAGGGGACAACCTCGTGGGGCAGTAAGCAAAGGGGCGTCCTCGCTGCCTGCCCTGGGTAATTCAGTTTAAATAAGCAGATGCCTTTGCACAAATAATTTTAATTACAATTTATAATATCTAGAACAGCGGTCATTTCGTATGACTGCTGGGCTTTCTAGTGATTTCCATAATCATGTGGCCTGTATTTGAATCCTGAAGAAGATATTAACATTTTGTAGTCATCTACCCACTGGATTGTCAGTGATGAGATAGCTAAATGACTGATGGATTCCAACCAATGCTTAATAAATATCTAGTCATTGAGATGTCCATAAAACATAATTTATGTGGTGTTTAGCATTGCAGACATTCAATATGCATCTTTCTTTTTTGGTGGGGGTTGGGATAATAAACAAATACTGGAGTTTTTCAAAATTTCATGTTAGTGTATGTTTTAAAGATGGTGAAAATATATTTTCATGTATTGTTTAGAGGAATTTTAATAGGAATATTGTTGGCTTTTGTTAATTTAGACGTGACAATGTCTGCAATTGATACTTTATTTTCGAACATATGATTGTATTAATTACATAACATTTGGGATTTGCAGATTACTCCTCCATAAGCATATCATATACACGGCTATACATTAAATGTGCTACACCAGGAAGGAAAGCAAATAGCAGAATCTTATTTATTACACATATATATACAGAATAGTGGGAAGAAAACATGATTAAATTTTCTGGTGATTAGAGGTACACAGCGTACATAATTCAGTGCACAGAGCTGTCCTTTCTAGCAAAAACAATGGTTATAATCCAGCTCAGCATCGAGATAAACACAACTTGGATGATTAGATATGGTATTTCATTCCATGCATCTTCAACCATATGCCAGAGTTCATCGTCGTAGTGATTAGTGAGTGGTGGCATTAAAATCAACTGTTAAGAGTAAAAAAATAAAATTTTTTAGTTGTTAAATCATGTCTGTTAAAAGTTTAAAATTTATTTTAATAGCAGCTGTATGTTTCTTTTAATTGTTTCAATTTACACCTGTCAATTATATTATTTTTTGTGTCTAAATGTTTTTAAACAATTATGTCCATCTTTAATACCTGTACATAGGACAATACAATCTCACATTAGTACTTCTGGAACACTGCAATGCTAGGAAAACTTCCACGTAGAAAGCAATAGTACAATTGTATCCTGGTATCTACATATAACAATGGTGGAAAAGTAATCTTGAAGTTTTAAGTTTCTACGCCTAGTGATAAATAGTGTATGGCTAAATATGAAACACAACCATAGAAACAAGCTAAGCACTGAAATTCCCACTGTAACCCCAATTATATTCACATGCATGTGTTTTTACCCATCTTCCCAAGTAACTTTATAAATTCCGCTACAAATTTTAACATTCTGTAGAGCTATGTTTTCTGGCTAGGCCTATCGACAATAAGAATGCTCAAGCCAGTTGAGTTACAAATGCTGATAGTCATATCTAACAGGCAGTTACAGCAAGCTCAGCTGGTGGTAAGTAAGTAAGTAATGAATGTAACTAAATGGGTATGGAAATGTTACATTGGAATGTATGTATTTTCAGGTTACATATTGCTGCTCAGAATTGAACACTTCTTAATCGATCTCTTCCTCGTGATGCTTGTAAGTGTCAGCAGAGGACGATGCTATCAATGGTCAAGTATCAAACTTTCTTGCATACACAGATTTTTTCTATTAAATTCTCTCAGCTCCACTTTTAACTATTTGCTTTTCTTTAGTTACATTCAATAGCATCTCTTGCATTCAGAAACTTTTTTTTTACATTTTACTGCTTTCTAATTGTTGGAGTTTGAAGCTACCAATGCTTCTCAACTTGAGAGTAGCTGTGATGTTTTATCCATTATCGAGGAAAAAACTTGAGCGAGTAAATTTTTCATTATTGTATTAAAAATGAAGTCTATAAAGTGATATAGTATACGATGTATTTTATCATTCAGTATTAATATATGATATCTTATTTAATCACCGGTTAATCTTCGAATTATGGTAACTTGGCAATTTTTTGGCGACCAACCCTGCTACAGCAACCTGCTAGTTTTTGTTTTGGACACCATTTTGTTTTCACGAAGTAAAGCCATGTTTTTTTTACTCAACATTTTTTTCCAACATCTGCTAGCCGAATTAGCCGAATTACGCTTATACTAGAACTTTTATGGAACAAAAATTCTTAATCATGACATAGATTAGGTGCGAAATTGGGAGAAAGTGCAGAATCGCAAACTGCTTGCTGCGTTTTTAAGAATTGCACATACACGGTATCCATGTACACGTTGACCTATTTTCACTTAAAAAAACATCCCAGAATTGCACAAAAATGGCATTGCATACACTCTTTGACTTTATCCCTGTACACTAAAGTCCTAGCTAGTAACCTTTATCGCCTTACCAAAATGTCACCAAACTACCTGTTACCATATTCCAAAGATCAGCCTTAATCACCTTATATATATTACATGGATATTTTGTTCTACATAGTGTTTATTTGTATGTTCTGGAATTAATTACCCAAAAATACATGGGCCCTACTGTAATTGCTTTTCATTGTAGTTTTTAACTTAGGAATTTTCAAAAGCAACTTTCAAGCGTAATTTTTTAGCTATAAATATTCTTGGACTTTTTGATTATCTGATGTGCGTTTTACTTTATAACTTCATTTATAAGAATCCGCTTTGTGATGTTGCTACGTCTTCCAATATACATTTTTCTTTAAGGTGGTCTACTACAGCAGCATTACAATACTAAAAATTTTTTTACACGCAGAATCGCTAATTAAGAAACTATGTTGCGTGCAATTTGGCAGAAATATAAAGCAATAGGTCAGTTTTCGAATCACAATGTTAGAATCAGGTTTGAAATGAAATTTACTTAAATATTATATTTTAAAAAAATTAGTTTGAAATACGTAATTTTAATGTGTAGTTTGGAAAGCCATCAATAGATGGCGCTACGAGTTAAAATTTAACATTGTAATCTTATTTCTGCAAAAATTCACGAAGTAATTGATTTTGATATCAGTTATAAATCATATTTTTTTCTAAATAATATTTAGAAGCGTTTCATATATTCCTTTATACACAGTTTTCACTAAACATTGTCAGCTGTCAGCAGAATGACGTTTACGGCAACCCTATTGCATTGCTATTCCGCACTCGTTTTGTTTACATTTATTTGTACTGTGGTCAGTTTTGCAAAAAATATGCGAAAATATCAAGGACGACCGAAAAAAAACATCCTGGTTTTAATAAAAGATCCAGAATTCAGCGTAAACGTCGAGCTCAAGAAAAAAATATGAAATTAAATTCCCGAGATGTGGAAGATTCCGAACAAGCGGATGTTTTCGAAAGGTGAGAAATAATTTATTCTTTATATCGACTACCCCGTGTTTATGATTTCGTAGTAAGTTAATTCCGAAGTAAAATATGCGTATTTTTTTTATTGAAGGTCAGAAATTATTGATACAACTGCATCTGTGTCAAAGGAGAATCATTGCCCGGATGATTTTTTTACAAAGTAAGTTTTTTTTTTTTTTTTTTTTTTTTTTTGTATGTGTGTGTATGAGGGGATGCTAATAATTGTTCAATTCTGTTATAACAATTTATTCCTCCATTCACACTAAATTGTTGGGAAATATTGAAAGGGTAAATTCCAATTCACAAGGAATTGCTGAAATAATTGAATCTTTTCAAAAGTATGAGCATGTTCTTGCGATCTAAATTGAATTCACCATCATTACATGTATTATTGGAAATTTTATAGTCATATGTTTGCTACGAAATGCTTTGTCAGTTACCTATGGTATATTTTAACAGGTGTATGCACATTTATTCATGTGCTCGCTGTTCAACTTGCTTTTTTTTATTATGTCATTTACTTGGATGTTAAAACTTTCTTTTAGCGTTGGAACATTTTATGATCATTTAGTAAAATTTATATATAAATATATATTATTGCTTGTTTATTTATGGTTCTGTGTATTTGTCATGTATGCATGTTGTGAAGTGTAGTTTTTGAAAAATATGTCACAAATGGTTAAATTCCACCAAAAGCTGAATTGAATTGATATTGGGATGCAGGTAATTAGAAAATATCTGCTGTGTATTTTGAGCGTAAACCAAACTAGTGCCAAGAATGGGACCAATACGCTCAGGCTTGCTTAGCCTTTTTGCCATTGTCCAAATTGAATTATCTCCAGTATAAAGGGAGTGAATGCTTTCTCTGTATAACATTAAAATATCTCCGTCTGATCAAAAATCTACCAATAAGAAACTTTTCATATGTTATGTGACAGACTTTCTGCAAACAGAAGTCCTCAGCTCTGTTCTTGTACATGTTTTTTAATTGTGGTTCAGATGTGTACTTCTCAAAGGAATTCTTCTCATAGGAAGATTATCTGAACATTTAAAAACTATATTCTGCTTTTAGGGGCCTAATATTTTATGCCCCTAAAATTAATATTGAAATTTCTAAAATGTTGAAAAATATGTCATCTGGATTCTGTACAAAAAATATAATCCCCTTTTTCATTTCTGCATTTGCAATTCCTGCATTTTCTTTATTCCTACATTTTTTAATTGGAAGGAATTTCATTCGCAGAGCCCTCTAATTTATTCTTACAAATCATGTAGTAATGTACCATTTTAGATAGATATAATAATAACACATTTTGTAATTTTTCTAAACTGTGGTTATACAGCATGATATAATAGCTACACAGGGTATGGCGAAACAGTATACAGCAATATCTGTCGCACTGTCTGAGATGGGTGGTAGTCATACATAGCTTAATGCTTAAATTTGTTATGTGTTATTTATTTATTCATGTTTTTTTTTTTTTTTTTTTTTAATTATGTTATAGCAGTTTATTTCTTTCATTCTTAGGTCCGGAAGTGAAAAATTTGACTTTTCTACGCCAGAAGTTACAGCTAATGTTCCTAAGACAAACCAGGCTTTCCTGAGGTAAGTTGGTTTATTTTTAAAATAGATATTAGCTGTGCATGATATTACAGTTACTTAATTATGGTTAACTAATTATGTATTAATTTAGAAGTCAAGCAACCAAAATCAGCGTTATATTTTCAAATAGTGAATATTTCAAAATATGATGCTGATTTTTGTTGCTTGACTCTCAAATTAATACTTGGTCGGTGTGTTATTGTATCTTAATTAAACTAATTATGGTTCTTTTCTTCTCAGTTCTGATCTGGACATTTCAGTTATTGACTCTGACGTAGAAGGTAGAAATACAAGCTCTCTTTTGGGGTAAATATGTATTTCTCTATGCCAAAATTAAAATGTCATCATTTATGTTTTTCTTTTATGGTGTTACATTATGTTGTTTACATACTGATAGCTATTAAAACTGTTAAATATAATATTGTAGCTATCAAAAAGAGGGGGATGAATTTGATTTGTACCAAATTTGGACGTTTTGCATGAAAGAACTTGAAAATAAAAGATTTTTTTAAAAATATATTCATTGAAATCAGTGAAATTTTCAGTCGGGACACTGAAGCAAATGAAAATATTTTGGGGTTTGATTCTTTTGATGGGAGCCTCATCAATAAGCCTACTATCTTTTTTAAATATTGCTTCTTTTTCATTGTTTTCATGATGTTTTATGTTCCCTTCATGAAAGAGATTTTTAATAATTTAAATTTTGTTAATAAAATATAACAAAATGAAATCTGTGATTATGTGGCTGTTATTTTTTCCATATATATTTATTTGAGGAAAACCAACAAATTTTATTATTTTACAGAATTTTTAAGAAAAATATAAGGATAAAATTTTTTAAATAATTCTGATTACTACCTTTGCTTTCCTCTCATAATGTGCCTCAAATTAGAGCAATTAGACAACAAATTTAAGTCGTGATCTTTTTTTTCCAAGTTTTTTTTTTTTAGGCTTAGGAGTATAAATTGCTTATCCCCACAAGACAGTGCATCTTCTTAGTATGCCATCCTAAGGCTCCGTTCACATGATGGTATAAATGTCATAGACGCATAATCATAAGGCACAAAATGTGGGAGTTCCATTCACACCTGCGAGAGAGGGTCTAAGCCATAGCCAATTAGAGAAGCTAAATTTGTGCATGCATGTATGTGTCTACAGCTTTCTCTCTCAATAGGTTTTATGTATATGCTCTGATTGGCCGACTCTTATATCAAGTCGGCACAAAGTTGAAAACTTCAAGCTTAATGCCCAAACTAGTTTTTGTGACATAGCAAGGTCTGACTACAAAGCGTTGTTAGTTGGGAATTATGACATTTATACAACGGCTTGAATAGAGCCTTAGAAAGCCATTTGGTAACTGAGTTATCCACCATGAAAGAGTTATTCTTGCCCCTCTGAATTCAGTGTTTACTGGAACACGAACATTTTATACTCAGGTGTAGAGGCCCTTCATGTGAAACCTCCGGCACACAAAGTAGTGACTAATATTGCACGAGCAAATGACACTGCGAGCATGGAAGCAGCAGTTGTGAAGATGACTCATCTTCTTGTAGTAATATACTGGTAATCCAGTGTATTATTATTGTTAATTTATTTGCTATCTGTTGCCTAAATTTCCTAAACCTAATTGCGAATGGGCTGCCTGCATGGGCGTTTTCATGGTTTTCCCCGTGTATATGAGCCATTTCCCTTAGAAAGTCCTCCATGAAAGCATTCCTCCTCTTAGGAAGATCAAGTGCTTTGCTGTCATCAAATAAGCCAAATTTAAACCTAATTTGTAATATTTATATATATTAATTATATATATGTATATATATTGTATATATATATATTTTAGCTTGGAGTCTGAGCCTCTTCAGGAGAACCTTAATGATGAATTTCTGTGTCCTGATTCACCTTTAATTATCGAAAGGGAAGATCGACGAAAGGCAAATCCATTACCATCTGGCAGAACAATTTGCAATATGTCTTTTGTAATAGTGCAGGCTAGGACATTAGAGCAACATTCCCTAAATTGTAAATTTGGAGGATCATTTATTTTTAACAAAGTGATTCGACGTGGTCTTGTCACTACATATAACTATGTATGTGATAAAATTTTATGTGGGGAAATGGCAACAATTTGTTCTGATATGGAGAAAAGCAGCCTAAATCAGCTTGCAGTATTAGGTGCGTTATCTACTGGCAGTGGATTTTCACAAGAGGAGGAAAAGTTTAGCATCATGGAAATTCCGTATATGAGCAACTCGACCTTTGCTTCTTGTGAGCGAACTACTGGCAAAATAATACAGGGATGTGCACAGGAAACTATGTGTGCTGCTATAGAAGAGGAGAAAAGGCAGGCAGAACTTCGCAATGATAAAGATAATGATGGTTATCACTGTATAACTGTCATTGTTGATGGAGGTTGGTGTAAAAGAAGCTATGGGCATGGTTACAATGCTTCAAGTGGCATATCTGTTATTATAGGCATGGTCACCCAGAAAATTTTGTTTGTTGGAATTCGCAACAAAGTGTGCCTTATATGCAGTGCTATTGAAGATGGCAAGATGCCAAATAAAGTGCACCTTTGTTGGCGAAATTGGAATGGGCCTTCTACAGGTATGGAAAGCAGTGCCATTGTGGAAGGTCTGAATTATCTCCAGTGTGTTCACAAAATACGTTGTACTCGACTTGTTGGAGATGGAGATGCTAACACAATGGCCAAAGTGAAAGAAAGCGTTTCATATGGAGGACGGGTGATCAAAGTAGAATGTGCTAACCATGCTGTTCGAAGATATCGCAGAGCTCTTGAGAAACTTCAGCAAAATACTGCGCGCTTATTGCTGCCCGTAAATTGCTGAAAATTAAAATGCCACTGTTAGTCAGAGGTGCTAGAGTAGCTATAAAAGCTCATGCTTTACCTAGCCATTATCAGCACACACAAGAAGCTATTGATGCATTAGTATCTGACTTGAGAAATGGGCCACATCATGTATTTGGCAAGCATGATGCTTGTAGTGCCTTTTTGTGTCAAAATTTTTAGAATTTAGAGAATAGTGCATAGCAAAATTTTATAATTTAGCAGAGGGCACTGAGCAGCAGAATTTAGAGGCAAAAAAATGTTCAGAACTTACGAAGACATCAGCCAGCAGAATTTAGGATATGCAGAGATTGCACTGAGTGGCAATAGTGCCATATGTTACATTTGCTATCTGCATTATTAATTTGTGAAACAATTTCAGCTGTTTGAAAATGCATTTTTCTGTTAGAAATTTGTATTTCTTGCAATTTCTTTTTTTTTTGGGGGTCGAGAATATGGTGTTAAAAATATTTTATCATTTTCTTTTTTTTTTTTTTTTTTTTTTCAGGTGTAAATTTTGTGCATGATTTGACTGGGTAAGGAGTTACTAAGGAAGAGAAACTTACATGCAGGTTGAAGCATGCAGTGTCAAATGTATAAGGAATATAAAAGATGCTGTATATTAGTATAAGTTTGAATAACCATAATAAAAAAATTTCTTGAAAATTGTGTTTTTTCTGCGAGTTATTAAAATTGGAAATAATTAATTACAATATTTATGAAAATTTTCGAAAATAAAAATACAAGTAGTATTTAAAAAGTACTGCAAAACTCATTTTTAAGTAGAAAAATTATTCTCAGATGAAATCCTTTCGATTATGCAAAAGGACTTTTTTAGTATTTGAAAGGTTCATTTGAACCCAACAACTGAAACTAACGTATCCCCAGTTCATTGATACCAACCATTTTGTTGGTATCAATGAACCCACTACTTTCTAAAAGCATTTCTGTCAATTACTAAGGGCTAATGAACAGGTGTTGAATTCTCAAGATGAATGTTGCCGAAACAGAAAAAAGTGTACTTCAGAACATTTTGCAGTAGCTCAAACAAAGTCACGGACCTGATCTATACTGTAGTCAGAGAGAAATTATTCCCCTTCCTTTTCTTTCAAAAGCTGAGTTTCCAAACGCACAGCGGGAGGCCGTTGCTAAAAGCTGTGGAACCAGTTTTATAGCTATTTTTAGCAACTTGTGAGCTGTTTTTCAGATAACACAGTAAATCTCGGGGAGGGGGGAGGGGAATTTGAAATCATGATCACTGCCGGTACGGCAGAATTTAGGTACAGCAAAATTGTAAAATTCAGCGAAGCATCAAGCAATAAAATTTTAGAATTTTGGGAAGGGCACTTGACAACAGAATTTATTGCGTACAAAGTCAGCAAAATGCATAGCGCCGTACCTGATTCATGATACAGCAGTATTCATTACCAATAGCAAACTTGTTTGAGGATAAGTTCGAAAAAATGTTTTCTAGTTGTTACCTAAAATCGGTAAACAATAATCTTTGAAAGATTATTCGATTATATCGTTACTAATATGGTAAAAATTTGAAAAGCAATCAGAAGCCGTATCTCTAGGGTCTTCACGTCACGATTTATTTTTATTTGTTCGAATATGATATTTAGATCTCTCTTCCTACAAGTATGTATCTTCGTACGTATAAAGTATCAAAAATAATAAAAGTAATTAATAAATTTTCTCTAGTTGCCCTGAAAACTACATCTGAATATAAAGATAAGAAAGACATCAGTAAATTGCTGTTGTTATTTGCTGATCATAATGGTAATCAACCGAACATGATCACATATACCGTCTTCAAAACTTTGATTTTTATCAAGCTTCATATAAATACTAGGTTTTTGTTAGTCACGTAATTTGGACATCCTAAATTTAAGATGACAGATGAAATAATGACTAGTTCTGAATTAGCTCACTCAGGAAGTAAAATTTTCTCCTTCCCGTCAATATAGCATATTTATAGCTCCCAATGATGGCGATCACTAACTAAATATGTTATGGATTAGAACCCTATTGCACTCCATAAGTTTTTCTTTATTCGCTTTATGTGCATGCATGCTTGGTTGTGGAAGAAATTAAAAAGCCCTTTTTTTTTTTACTTAGATTATTCGAATGTATACGCCAGACATTTATTTGTTGAACTGTAATTATAATTTGGAACGTGGTGCTAGAGCCGTTGGAGCCGAACCGAACGCCAGTTTGTTTAGAATTATAGAGTTTGATTACGCCAAAGCAGGTGAATTTGGAAAACACCAAAATCGGTCATGCATCCAACTCGTTCATCGAGGCTTGAACTCCGGATGAACTACCAGTGTTCGGCGGCTCGCTTTGAACTAGAATTGCGTTAGGCTCTTTGAATGTAGCAAGCCACGAGGGTTACCTTCTTAAGATGGCAGGCCTTCGTGGAGGAATTTTCTGAAGGCTTAGATTAGGTTATTATGGCAAAGCACAGTAGGATGCCTTCATGTTGAACTTTCTTAGAGAAATTGGACAACCCATACACGTTACACATGGAGAAAATTATGAAAACGTCCATGCAGCCGGCCCGTTAGCCTTGATTCGAATCCAGGTCGGAAACTACCAGTGTTCAGCGATTTAATTCCTCTACCGCGGGAGGGCCTAATTGCTGAAGGGAACTGGCTTGTATTCATGTTACACACGGTGAAAACAAACAATGCAACCAGCTGATTCGTCTGGCATCGAACCCAAACCAGTTCGAACTTCCAGTATTCAGTAGTTTTAACCACTCGGCCACTGGTGGCGTGTGGTAGGAGCCACAGATAATGTATTGAGTAGCAAAAATCCCTAATAGTGGCCCTGGTTACTAGTAGGATTGTAAGTATATTGGTAATCATCCAATCTACAGCAAGGAAATTTCGGAGCTTAATTGTAAAGTCAAATGCGACACTCCGATAAACGTGGTATATGTAGAGATGGAAAAATTTATTATTTAAAATACTTGTATTTATTAGTAAACATTTTATAAAATTTATTCTTAATTTAGCGTTTAAGAATTCTAAGAGAGTTATCTGAGTATTTTTTCCTCCTTTGGTAATCCAATAAAATTGAGTAAATTTATGTTCTGTAATATCTTTGCGTGTTATATACATAGTTTTTTTTTTTTTTTTTTCTTTCAAAGTTAGACAAGTTTACACAAAACAATATAGGTCGAAAAGGGAGCTGGTCTGCGCCCGGTGAGCCTGTCGGCAGCGTCGCAAAGCGTAATTTGACTAACGAAAAGATCATGCTTTGGATCTGGTGATCTGGATAGTCACTTGTGTTGAAAAATAAATTTATTTCAACAACATAGGCCAAAAATTTAGTTGATCTGCGCCCGTGAGTCCGTCGGCAGCATCGTAAAGCGTAATTTGACTAACAAAAAGATCATTCTTTTGTATTTGGTGGGATTGCCGTGGTATTAATCACAAATAGTATATGGAAAAAGGTAAAACCCTTGACAGTAAAGGATACAACGAGATGCTAGTGCATGTTGACGCTGCTATCAAGGAAAAGAGTCGAATTGAGTTCCGGCGCAGAAAGGTAACGTTCCATCAAGATAATACCATACGTGTCTGCATTCACCGGCTGGCCTCTGTACGGACTCGAAAGGGATCTTTCACCACACCCACCATATAACTCCGACATCGCACGTTCGGACTTCTACTTTTTTTTCAGCTACATCTTGCTGGTCCTATCTTCACTTCTGCACAAGACGTCCGAAATGAGGTTGACCTGTGTTTGGACTCGGGCCACCAAGTTTCCGAGCCGAAGGTTTTGAAAAACTACCAAAAAATTGGCAGAAAAACATAGATTTTTGGTAGTGATTACTACCCGCACTAAAGGTACTGACTGCTTTTTTTTTTTTTTTTTTTTCATAACTTTATGAAGAACGTTCGTGCTTAAAATTTTCGTTACAACCATTAAATTCTGTAATTTATGAATTCCTTCCCACTTCTCATGTATTTATCAACTGTTACTTTATGAACCTGATATTCCTACAATTATCAGCTGTACTTTATAAATCTGATATGTAGAAACGCAATTTGATTTTATGCATTTCAGTATCAAGTGAAATCTTTAAACTAATCGTTCATTATAACACTTTATGTTGTTTTCATTCAAAGCTGAACTCAGATAATGTGCCGAGGTTGAACTACCAGTAATAGGCGACTTTAGCGCTCGCCCGCTAGAATTTAGAGAGGAACTGAGTGCTAGAATTGGGTTAGGCTCTTTGAATATAGCAAAGCCACGAGGTGGCAGATAGCAGATGCCCTTCGTGGAGGAAGTTTCTGAAGGCTTAGTTTAGTTTATAGCAAAGCTCCCCATACACGTTACACACGGGGAAGATTATGAAAACGCCCATGTAGCCAGCCCGTTCGCCTTGATTCGAACCCAGGTCGGAACTACCAGTGTTCAGCGATTTAACCGCTCGGCCGCGGGTGAGCCTAATTGCTGAAGGAAACTGGGTCGTATTCATGTTGCACAACAGGAAAACAAACCATGCAGCCAGCTGGTTCGCCTGGGATCGAACCGAAACCAGGTCGAACTTCCAGTAATCAATATTCTTAACCACTCAGCCACTGGCGGCGCGTGGCAGAAGAGAAGTAAGAGCCACAGATATTGTAGTGAGCAGCAAAAACCTCTAATACTGGCCTCTGGTTACTAGTAGGAATTATATATTGGTAATCATCCAATCTACAGCAATGAAATTTCGGAGCATAATTGTGAAGTTAAATACGACACTCCGATAAACGTGATAAAGATGGAAAATTTTTAAAAAAAGGAAACTTACTATGCAAATACATGTATTCATTAGTAAACATTTTATAAAATTTATTCTTAATTTAGCGTTTATGAATTCTCAGAGAATTATCTCATCGGATTATTTTTTTCTCCTCTGGTAATCCAATATAATTGAGTAAATTTATGTGCTGTTAATATCTTTGCCTGTTATGTACATAGTTTTTTTTTTCGTTCAAAGTTAGATAAAACTGAACGTACGTTACACTGAAATTACTTTGTCTAGAAAGTAAGCGCTTGAATAGAAACAGATGTGGGTTTCATTTTTAGAAGACATGAGATCACTTTCTGTAAAGTAATGTTATAAAATTTTGAATTTGAAATAATCGTACTTCGTTTTTAGTAGCGCAGAATGATAAAGATTTAATGAGAATATAGCAAAGCATCTTTTTAGAAACGCTGTTATAATTTTGCTATTTTATTTTTTTATGGTAGGTCAAGGAAAAAGGCAGGCTGCTAAATACGGTAACAGCACATTGCTCTGTTTCATATATAGCGAATCCGCTCTGAAATGAGGCACGAAGCGGTAAAGTAGCTGAACACCAGTAGTTCGGTCCGAGTTTCGAATCCCGCGAAGGGACTGGCTGCGCTTTCGTGGTTTTACCCTGTGTAACGTGTATAGGAGCCAATTTCCCTTAGAAAGTCTTCCACGAAGGCATCCTTTCCCTTAGGCAGATAGATCGTACCGGTGTTTATGTTATCAACAGTACTGGTTATTTTCAAAAATGATCATCCTAGAAAGGTGATTGCCAAAAAGTATTCACTTCGCTTATTTATACGTTATGCATGAATATACTCTTTTTAGTCAATCTAACATATATAAATTACTAATGCTTAAAACAAATTCAATTTTCAATATTCTGTTTCCTATTTGTTCCTGTTCAATGAAACAGATTCATACACAGCAAATCCAAATGCATCGCTACAGGAAGATGATAAACCAGCTCAGTACGTAATTACAGTTACATCCGGAAAAGAGTAGATATACATATAAATACATAATATATATATATATATATATATTGTATATCGTTTTTTAGGATGTATCTATAATATGTATCATTTTACTTTACTAAAATATAATATTCAATTTTGTAATTTAGGAATTTCTTTCCCCTTATCATGTATTATCAGCTTGTACTTTATAAACCTGATACCCCTTCAATTATCAGCTGTATTTTATAAACCTGAAACATAGAAACGCAATTTGATTTTATGCATTTCAGTATCAAGTGAAATCTTGAAACTGATTGTTCATTATAACACTTTATGTAGTTTTCATTCAAAGCGGATCTCAGATAATGTGCCGCAAATTATTTTCACACTAAGTTTTTTGTGCAAATAATACGTCCTGCTAGTGTTTTTGTAATAAAATGCATGTTATTAATTGATTTCGAATTTTCGTTGCATCTTGATATTGCTGCCAAAAGATATTCAATCAACAATAGTATCTTTTACTACGTTTATGTGTGTGGATACATAGACCATTTCTCCGTGTACTAGAAAAATTTGATAATGATTTATCCACTTTTAAAGTAAAAAAATAATAGTTAGGAGTGTTATACGATTTTATAATACAAGTAAAAAATATATATAAAGCTCTGGAAAGTGCTAACACATACAGGGTGATTATAATTAAAGTTTAAGTTTCAAAACGCTATAGAAAAAGAACCACTCATGAAAATGACGCCAAATTTGAAAGGAATGTTATTGAAGAAGGCGGAAAGCGTATGGCAGAAGAAAAAATTTAGTTTCAAAAGTTAGCAACAGATGGCGCTGCAAGCAGAAGAAGACAAATTAAAATGTTAGTTAAATTTCAGTGTTATAAAGCCGTCAGATACCAGGCTGTTCCTCATTTCGCGTCTCAGACGTTCGCCATGGGTGTTTCACTGCAGGACCGCGCTCTGCTGGTAAAGCTGTATTACAAGAATGATGATCGTGCAAGAGTAGCTCTGCAAAAATTCAGGACACTGAAGGGTATAAAAGAAGGCGTTGGTCCAATGAGTTGTCGTAGGTCTAAAGAAAATGATGCAAAAATTCGAAACGACAGGTTCGTTTGATGTGCAATCTGGTAGAGGGAGAAAACGAGTGCATTCGACGGTAGTTGAAGAAGTATGGCCACAGCATTACAGGAGGGGTCGGCCGGTGGTGTGCAACCGTGCAGTGCACGAGGAATTAAACGAACATTGACAGGCCTACGAGCACGATGCTGAAAATTGTACGAAACATCCTGCAATGCTATCCGTACAAAATTGGCCATGTGCAGGAGTTGCTTCCGCCTGACCTAACAGCTAGGGAGACGTTTGCGTTAGAATTCCTGGCTCGCATGGAAGTGGATAATGAATGGCCGTGGAAAATTTTGTGGAGAGATGAAGCCCATTTCCATCTGACAGGATACGTGAATACCCAGAATTGTCGAATATGGGCAACAGAAAATCCACTGGCAACGCACCCCGTACCACTTCATCCTGAAAAGGTCACGGTATGGTGTGGCTTTACGGCATCATTTATCCTAAAACCATATTTTTTCGAACAGACGGGTGCTTCCGGTCCTGTTACTGCAACCGTCACTGGTCAGAGGTATGCGTCTCTTTTGCGCAACCACGTGATTCCAGCTCTGCAACAGCGTGGATGTGGATGAAATCATTTTTATGCAAGATGGCGCTCCTCCGCACACTGCACATCCCGTGAAGCAGCTGCTGAGGCGCCATTTCGGAAATGCTCGAATTATCAGCCGTCATTTCCCTACAGCCTGGCCGTCCCGATCGCCTGATCTTACTCCGTGTGATTTCTGGCTGTGGGGATATCTGAAGGATGCTGTGTTCCGTGCTCCAATTGCAAATTTAGCAGAATTAAAGGCACGCATTTCGCAACACATTCTGAACATCACCCCGGAGACACTGCGATCCGTTGTGGAACATGCTGTTTGTCGCTTTCAACTTGTTGCACACAACACCATATTGAACATGTTTTGTGCCAGTCTCGCGACAGTTCCGAACTTCTTTGATGAATGGTTCTTATGCGGTATGTCGCCGCAAAACTCTTGAAAACCGATTTGTCCCTTTCGATGTGATATGTACAGTCATGCAAATAAAATTATTCAACAATTCTAATTTTGTCAATGCGTTTTAATGTGTAACTTCCACCTTAGCCATTGTTTTACGAATTGCTTCTCGTTTCTCGTCGTGATTCTGCCGCTTACAGCGCCATCTATTGCTAACTTTTGAAACTAAATTTTTTCTTCTGCCAGACGCTTTCCGCCTTCTTCAATAACATTCCTTTCAAATTTCACATCATTTTCATCAGTGGTTCTTTTTTTATAGCGTTTTGAAACTTAAACTTTAATTATAATCACCCTGTATTTATGGAATATTATGGATGGTAATTTATGAAATATTATGGATGGATGAGTAAATGGAATATTATGTGCATGCTATATATGTATACACATATCATCAAGTATAAAATCATTTATATATAATTTTTATGTCGCGATGAAATTTCTTTTCTTCCGCAAAATAACGGCAAATTATGAAACATTACGCAACATTGAAAAGCGTGATGAAAAAATTTTGCGAAAAGAAATAGCGACTGCTGCACGTATCTCACAGATATCTTTCATTCAACACAAAGGTGGAAAAGTTCTATTCCTGTTCAAAACATACCCTGCAGTCTGAGTCACAGACGGAAGAAATGACAGCAGGTCTTTTGTTCAACTGAGGGGATGTGTTTTATGGCTTACTCACTTTCCCGCCAAACGAGTACAGAGGAAGGAAGCGTCATTGCCATAGTAACCAGGCTGTAGGTAGTCTTACAGATTTGAGTCTTTATCGCTCAACGTTCGTAGCGCCATCTGTTATTAAAAATCGACATGAGAAAGGGGTATTAAACGCTCTTAAGAAACATTCTCTATTCATTAAAAGCAAATTTAAAGTTAATTAAATTTAAATGACATTTAATGCAAATAAATAAATGATTAATTATTACTGCGAACTAATCTACAATATCATTTAAATTCTGAGAGTATATGTAAATCAACTGCAAGTATCAAAATCCATGAATAAATATATAATTCCAAAAATTTATAAAAATGCATAAGTGAATAATGGGATAGATTATTAATAATAAAAAAATTATAAAAATGCATAAGTGAATAATAGGATAGATTATTAATCCTAAAAAAATTATAAAAATGCATAAGTGAATAATAGGACAGCTTATTAATCCTAAAAAAATTATGAAAATGCATAAATGAATAATAGGATAGATTTAATTCTAAAAAAATTTATAAAAATGCATAAGTGAATAATAGGATAAATAAATTTTTGGAATTATATATTTATTCATGGATTTCGATACTTGCACTTGATTTACATATGCTCTCAAAATTAAATGATATTGTATATTAGTTCGCAGCAATAATTCATCATTTATTTGTTTGCATTAAATTTCATTTAAATTTGCTTTTTACGAATAGAAAATGTTTGTTAAATTCAAATTTCATTCCTTGCAGCAATGGCGCAAGAGACTTATTTAAATTTAATTTATTTTGAAACCCTGTAGATATATATATATATATTCATTTAACTTTTATGTGAATGCATATACATGTGCTCAGACTTTGGGATGTTTACAACTCTAAACTTTCATTCCAATTAACATGAGACAGTATTAATTTCCTAAACATTATTTTAACAAAAAATTATTATAATAATTGCTTTTAAATTCAGTCCTCTCCAGCAGAAGTGCAGGAATTAATTAATTAAATATTTCCATTTTCTTTACCTAATGTGTGTATATATAAAGAGAAAAATCTTATTTTTATAACTTCTTCTATAAAAACAGATATGAATTTAAAATGTTTAAATAAAAAATAATATTTTATGGATTATGCATGAAATATAACTGCCTATAGTGCATTTTAAAACAAACGAGATTTCTAATAAATTATCCAGCTATGACCCTGAAGTCAGCGGTATACAAGCATAGCAAATTTTGTGTAAATATTGTGAACCTTTCTTTACAGTTGCTCTGTATTTTTAAAGTACCAACTATTTCTTAATTCCTTTAACTTTTTTTATTTTATTTATTTATTTATTTGTTTATTTTTTCACTAACAGTACATTTTAGTTTTAATAATATATATATTATTTCATCAATATTTAAGGCTTCTAGAAACGCAAAAAAAATTTTTAAATTTACTTCAGCTTCTATGGAATTAGTGATGTTCATAATATGCATTATAACCTTACTTATCTAAAAATTGCTAGCGTACTTTACGTTCGCAGTTCATAAGCATAAGTAACAATTTCGAATAACATGGAATTTAGTAAACAAAACTTTTCTGCGTTTTACGTCAGGATCCATATCAAATCCAAAACACACAATACTCGCTTAAGTGGGAAAAATTCAGATGTTCAGCGTCGTAACTCGCGAACTGCTTGTTTGCCACCGAAATATTACAGCGACACCTAGCGGCGGAAAATGAAAATATTCTACGGATACGCAGGAGTAAAAACGCTTGTACGGATGCCGTAGGCGTGTCTTCAATTGATGCAACGCGTTCGTACTCAGTAGTGGAAATGAGGCTTTCTGGTTACCATTTTCTGAAGCAATTTATTACAAGCACTCTGGTTTCAAGCAATGGGCAATGTATTGTAGTGTGACTGGATGCTGTTATAATGCTAAAATTTATAAAAGTCAGCTAAGCAGTAGTTCAGAAACATATACACATGGATTAAACATCTCAATAATATTGAATAAGTTAGCAACCACAAAACCCTGCTTTTATTTTGATAATTTTTTCACAAGTTTTAATTTCATAAAAGACCTAAGAGAGAAGAATACATACCTGATAGAGTAACATTGAGATATAACAGGATGAATAAATATCCTATAAAAGCAGATAAGATAATGAAGAAAGAATTTTGTATGGCTTTTGGTTATAGATACGATAAAATAAATTGTAGTGTGATTGAATGCTGCTGCAATGCTGAAATATATGAAGGTTAGCTAAGCACTAGTTCAGAAAAATATACACATGGATTAGGCATGTCGATAATATTGAATAAGTTAGCAACCATACATAAACCAGAGAAACACTGATTTTAATTTGATAATTTTTTTATGAGCTTCAATTTGATGAAAAACCTAAGAGAGAAGAATACCTGATATAGTAATGCTATTTCTATTTACACTCTCTTTCTAACCTGGAAAATAGTGGAAGATCATTCCACAGTGTGAGTTCACAGAAATGCATATCAGAAGCGAGAAAAAATTCTGAAGGACATTAAACAGAAAACAGAGGAAACGTTCAGGTTCTTTTTTAAGTTCGGAAAATGTGTGTTAAGTGTGATGTTGGATTAAATGTGTTACTGCATGGGACTTGTAAAACAAAATTACTTAGAACAGAATTATTTACATGCAAACTGCTACAATCCCCAAATGGGGATTGATTTTTAAATCAATAAAAATCATATATTTATTTTCAATAATGTCAAATTTAGTACACGATGTTTGTTTACATGCAAAAGAGGAAACATATATATATAAAAAAAGTGTTTAAAAAAGTTTGGCAGTTAAAGAGTTAATGTAAATCGGAAATTAAATAACTTACATAATGATCTCCCCCCCCCTCCTGGCATCAGGGCTTAATTTCTAAGATTAGAAGTGCCGGAGCCTTATGGAAGATCGTCAGCAAAGAGGAACAAGAGTAAATAAACAAATAAAATGACTATCAAACTCATTAATAATTTTTAAATTAAATAGTTAATTATTATCAAATTAATTAATAGCTATTTAATTAATGTTTATAAATTGTTATTTAATCAATAATTATTACATAATTAATTATAAATTAATTGATAATTATTATTTAAATAATTGAAGTAATTAAATAATTAAAATTAAATAAAATGTAAAGAGATAAATTGAAATTTAATAAGTGATTTTTAATACAGTCAAAAGTCGTTAATTTGGAAACCCATAATCCGGAATGATCTATAATCCGGACCTCAAAGCTAAAAACTTTCTGCGCATGCGCCGCGTTGGCAAATGCGCACAGGCATTTTACGCGTGCGCGTAAGACCTTGACTACTGCGTATATGTGTGTGCGCAAGTGCAGAATACGTTTTCGCCTGCGCGTTTAATGTATAACGAACGGTGTAAGCTAAAATTATCTATTTCAGTTAATGTTAATGATTGCGTTGTTCCTTAATCTTCGAATTGGATCCCGCTTATTATTTTTTGCAGACTGTAAGAGCAATTTTATAAAAGTAAACTTGAACTTTCGATTATGTCAAATAGAATTTCCGATGCTGGAACTTCCAAAGGATCTACAAAACGAAAGTATGTTTCGATGTCCAACAAACAAAAAGTGGAATTGCTGCAAAAAGTGAATAAAGACATGAAGAATGTGACTGAGAGGTTAGTGAAAACGAAAAAATTTCGATTGACAAGTTAGTCGGTATTCTCGGCACAGCAATTAACGGGACTTGAACAGCGGGACTTTGTAACTGAACAAGAAATTATGTCTGTTTATAGAATTAAAGAGAAAGTATTATCACATAAAATGAAGCAACTTAAACAACTTACATTGAAAGAAATGTTTAATAAAGTAAACAAATAAATATTAAGCTCTTTTTTTTTGTAAATTTTGATACCCTTTAGATCATAATTGTTCTTTATTTCATAAATTACGGTTTCATATTTTTAATTTTAGAATTTCTGCATGCCATCTTACGAGATTTAAACTGATGATCTATAATCCGGAAAAATCGATAATCCAGAATCGCCGAAGTCCCGACGAGTCCGGATTAACGACTTTTGACTGTATAATTTTATTGTTAAAATAAAATTTCTACTCAAATTTTTATTCAACTACATAAAAGAAGTGCTGCAGCCTTCTTATTCAGGGCTCCGGTGCATTCCGGCTAAAATTATGATTTATTACAAAAACTAAGAAGCACCGGAACCGAGATTCGGTGGGCTCCGGCCCAATTTAAGCTTTGATCATAGGAAGCAAAAAAGTTCTTTTATCATCACAAAAATTAAATATACTTAAAGTATAGCTGATGAAAATTCCAGGGCGAAACAGAATGAGGGTATGAGTGGATGGAAACAAAAAATGAGAGGAATCTTGGTGAAAGAGAACGTTCTCTTTGACTGTGGCTCTCTGCTGATATAATTATAGCCATCAAGCAGATGTGTGTCAGGGGTAAAATGAATCCTGAATCTGACTCCTAAGGATGAATGTAAAGTTGCTGGTTATGCTTTCTCCTCCCATTAGTGGATACTGTGGGAAGACAATGTATAGGACGTGCTTGAGCAGTTTGCTGGGCTCCGGCACAATTTAAGCACTCCCTGGCATAGTTACATCATCTATAGATGATTTTGTAGTTTACTTATTGTATGCAGTAAGCAGTTTTAGGTATGTATTTAACATTGATGTAATGTGAAATTATTGCCACTTTCAGGCATTCAGATAATATTACCCAAATAATACTGCACATGATTTTGAACATTAGGTATTTTTATTATTGCTGGACTTGTTAACTCACCATTTAGATGTACTTCTTTATTGTTTAAATTAAAGTTAAAAGGATCTAGAACACCACCATCAATTATTCATAACTGCCACTCTGACTTCTCTCTAATGTTCACTACTGCTGTTTGTAAGCTACCTGCTTTGCTGTCTGCTAGCTCAGCTATCTACTGTATGTTAATCACTTGTAGTAATAACTGACACAGAAAATACAGCTTATGATAACTATGTAACTTTAAAAAGTTAACTTATTTTCTATCTTAATATGTTGGGAAGTTTAAATTAACAAATAAATCCCAAAATGTAATTAAAACATAAAAAGCAAAGTAGAGTAGAAGTATGTAGTAGTCTGTCTGTGAGGTTGATTTATGGTCCTATTAGACTAAGTTTCCATCCTATGTGCCATTTGTTGTGCATTATCACTAAATATTTTAGGATCAGGAATTAAGTTCTTTTAGTTTAGGCTTAATCTTGTACCTTCAGAATCATATCATTCTCTGTAATTTCCAAAATATAAAAGCTTTCGATTGTTGTATGCATATTTCCATTTTTTTTTTTTTTTTTTTTTTTTTTTCCGCGAGGCAGTTTATGCCATCATACCAAAAGGCCAGAAAAGTCTCCTTTTATCATTGCTACAAATTAAAACAATATCACCTGATTTACAATTACCAGATTTTCTCCTTCTGAGCAAAATGGAGAAGAATTCCCAAGGAATCATATTTATACCTTGTCATTATATATCGGGATATCTCTTGTTCATTCTAAGATAGGTTATATTGGATACAAAAATAACACAGCATAAAATGGAGAAACATTCGAAACATTTTGCACCAGTTGTTGTAATGGGCAAATTGCTATGAGAAGTAATTACAGTGAGTTTTGACCTTATCAAGGAAGTTCATTAAGAATTTACTTAAATATTTAGGTGCTATTTACAAAGGCACTTAAAAAAATAATTACCATTGTTCTTTTCTTATGTTGTACTAAATGAGAAAAATATAACTTGGAACTTGTCTCAAACATCTTATATAATTCTCTTAATGTAATTATCATTCTGCCCTGAAGAATAATCTCCCATTTATCATCTTCAGTCTCTGACCTTGGTGTATTTAACTGAAAAAAAAAAAAAAAAAAATGTTAATGTAAAATATATTAACTCACATGAACAAACAAAGTATTTTTTTTTTTTTTTTAATTTAAATGTTAAACAGAATTTTGAAGAAAGCACATAAAAAGGTACATCTTTCATAACATTTCTTATGAAAACAGCAGCAGTAAAAGAATTAATAATAAATTACTTATATATGTACTGGGTACATGGATACTTGATTTGTAAAAAAAATATTTTCATAGTTCAATTACAAAAATTATTTGCATTTTCCCATACAGAAACTGATGCAAAGATGCACATTATTTTGCAATTTGACATACTATTTTCTTAAATAAAGAAAAATTAGGTTTGGTTTGGTTGATTATGACCAAGTATGTGAAGGATATATGCCTTAGAGATCAGATGTCTTTGTGGAGGACTAGTGAAAATTATATCATGTTCTCATTACATATGGGGAAAACCATAAAAACAGCTATACAGCCAGATCATTTTACCGGGATTTAAACCCAGGTCGAACTACCAGTGTTCTATCTATAACTGTCAAAATCTATCTTTAAAGTGTTCTATCCAAATCTGCCTATAAAAAAAAAAAAAAAAAAAAAAAAAAAAAAAGAAGAGAAAGAGCACTTATAAAATGGCAGCAGATTTCAATAGCAAACTTAATTTCTTTACAAGTAATTCTTTCTAGCAAGCAGAAGGAAATAAATAAATAAAATCAATATTAGAGAAATAGTATGATTTATAATGACATCGTAGTTTAAGAGAATCATGTGACACAGGAAGAAGCAAAATTTCCTCTTTGCTTAAAGTCATATGCAGTATATATGTCTTTGTTTTTTAATGTAGAAAATAGCCCAGTGAATTAATTTTTACAATTCTTGTTTTAAAAGCCAATGAAACCTTTGTCCGGGAAACTTCGAACTATAAAACATATGTATTTTTAAATGTTGAAATTTAGAAATAAATCAATTAGAAAAAAAGGGGCGATTTTTGAAAATTTGCTATAAAATCAGAAATTAAATTAAAAAACTCATATTAATTTCATTTAAAAGACTTTTTTTCCCCCAGCTTTTCGTCATGGTGCAAATAGTAAAATTCTGAGATTTTTAGTCTGTCTATTAAACAATGATACGTACAAAAAATCTTACTGAATTTTGCAAAAGCCGTTCACCACATTCATTCACACAAGCAATGTGTGTTCAAAATTTTGAGCTTGATATATTATTAAGAAATCAATAGCAGACTTTTGACCATAGTGATAAACACCATGAGTGTCTAAATAAAAGCTATCAAAAAGGCCAATTTCAAAATAGAGACTTTAAATCCTGAAAGCAATGAAAGAAAAAGTGAATAATAATATAAATGCTTTCCACTGTTGCTGCTTAAAATAATGACATTTTATCCAGAATTTCAAGATGTTGTTTTTTCAATTAGAATATTTATGAAGTACACAGTTTTAAAACATTATGCATAAATAACTTCTACACATCAATATTAATATTTGGAAATGCTTGAACTATTAACATATTGACAGTATGCACATTTTTCTTTTAGCTACAATAGTTAAGTTATTAATAGCATCAAAGAATGCAGCAAAAGTTAAACAATGAATGATTTGCAAATACAATAAATATATGTATTATACCTATACAAGATATTTAAAGAACCCCTGACTACAGACTGTATTTTCCTTAATACTAATCATATATTTATTTTCATTTACAAATTTTTCCAATGGCAGATAATTCGACATAAATGATTTCAACAAATAGAGTTCGTAAATACAAGACGTACCTTTTTATCCCCTTCGTGCCGACTGTCCCGTCTACGTGCCAGCAACGAACACACTCACCTACCGGCCGACACGCAGGCACGCCAGAGCATTTTCCTGTTTACTACCGACTGTCACGTATTTGTGCCAGTACCCTGGAACGTTTTAGAAACTATAATTTCTGCCACAAGATTGCACTATATGTCCATATGGTTTCAGATACATGTACACTGCTCAAAAAAAAAAAAAAAAAAAAAAAAAAAAAAAAGGGGGGGGGGGGGACAGTCCTATATTTCACTGGGCCGATTGACAAAATTCAAATTGCGTTCTTCATGTCTCGAAAGTGCGACTTAGGATATATATTAGATTTATATATAGCACTATTCTAACATAGGTATTTTGACACAAAATCGGACTTTTTCTGAAATAACATACCAATTTTTTTACATATTTCGATTCCACGACTCAAATTACGCCTAAATATGAAATTTCGTAAAATTTGGAGCGAAATTTACGGAGAAATTCACAAATTTATGTTGGCACTTTTTTGTCAGTTTGCGCCAAGAATATTTCACTTGGCGAACTTCTTAATATATGGCAACCTAGTTTCCTTTCCGTGAGAGGGAAAAAAGTCACCATCGTTCCTTTTTCCAAATAATATTCTTTATATTATATTTTTAATTATAACTTATTATTTTAAGTAATTTTTTCTTTTCGAATTTCATTTTAATTGTTTAAGTTGCACGTTTTTTTTTTTTTTTCGAATAACTGTTTTAAAAATTTCTATTTACCTATTCGAACTGCGTAAATAAAGGTGCAGCGTTTATTTTTTTTCAAATAGTTTTCTTATATATATTTTTTTGTCATAGTTATTATTTTAGGTAATTTTTAAATTTTTATACTTTTATTTTAATTTTTGTGTTGCATGTCTCTTCAGATAATTGTTTTAAAATTTTCTATTTATTCCTTCGAACTGAGCATTTTAAATATATTTATTAATATCAATTTTCCAGAATTTGATTTTATTTATTTGAACTGCGTTTCTTTCGGAAGAATACTTTGTAACCCAGACTACGATGAGTTTGAAAACTGCATACTATATTAAAAGAGAAAATACAGTAAAGCACAGTTTTACATGCCCTTCAATGTTCCGTTCAGAAAAGATATATATAAATAAGAGAGATGTATAACCCAGGGCTAAAGAAAAAGAAGGGCTAGGTCATCCGTTTGAGGGGGAACGATGCCGACATGAACCCAGTTGGGAAGCAATGTGACGTCACTGGGTTCGTCGCCTCGTCTACTGACCAGAGCTTCACAGTGCGAAAGCTTAAATCTTTACTTCTTATTTCTTTGAAAGAGGTTTCTTTGACTTGAAAATTATAGCTGAGGATATTTTTAAAATGAATTAGCGTTTGTAACGGGAAATTATTCAAAAAAATGGAGCCCTGTGCCATTGCTACCTGCGGTAATGCGTACCATAATACGAAACAAACAAACGTGATATTTTAACAATTTCCGTACAGAAACCTTCAGTAGACGAAAGAATGGCAGCATAGCAAGCATATGTTTTTTTATTTTTATTATTATTATTATTTTAAGCCAAAGGGCTATTAATTTCGTTTTGGCATTCTGCGTTGAATCACTATAAATGCGGTTCACTTTTCAAATTGTTGCCAGCAAATGTTAGAGTCCTGCATTATATTTAAAGAAATTAAATAATGAAAATCTGCGTAAATGTATGTATATTTCTCACATTGTCATAAAATAACGGTACATAGAGTCATCGAATTTTGAATAACGTAATCCTCCAACCGAATATGAGCATGTGGAAGACCAAATTTGGAATTTGTTTATTATCGATTTCTATTTTTTAAAACTTTGACGAATTTTTGATTAACAAACTCAAGGATTTCAAAGCGAGCAAGTGGCAACACTGTATCCCCCCAAAAAAAAAATTTTTATCTCCAGCGCGCGAGAATCTGTATCGGAAATTCTAAAGAGATGCTCATTTTTAAAATCCTTTTGCGATATTTCTGTTGAATTGAATTTTATGGTTTAAGTGCAAAGGTGTGGGGTCGAGTATTTAATCAGTTCATCATATCAATGTTCAGTTTTCTTACTGAGTTGGCTTTACAAAATTTTTGGCCTTTTTATTATTAACGTTTTGATGTTTACTTATTTATCAAACATCCTTCTTGGCGCCTCCTACACATAAAATTCGATTCAACACCAAAATCTCAAAATATTTAAAAACATTTTTCTTTAAAAATTTCCGACAGACAGTCTCGCGCGCGCTGGAGATAAAAATGGTTTTTTCCGTACAGTGTTTGCCACTGCTTGCTTTGTGATCGTTGAGCTTGTTATTTAAAAATTCATTAAACTTTTTAAAATATGAAATAGATAATAAAACAAATACGATATTCAAAATTCAAGCTTCCAGGTGGCCATGTTCAGGTGGAGGATTATGTTATTCAAAATTTGGTGGCTCTATGTATAGTTGTTTTTTCACAGTTCGAGAAACATGTATACATTCATGCAGATTCTTCATTATTTAATTTCTTTAAATATAATACAGTGTGTGATAATGTTTGGTGGCAACAATTGAAACGCATACGCCGTTTACAGTGATTCAACTCAAAATGCCATATCGAGGACTAATATCCCATTCGAGAATAACATCCCTTTCGGGCCTAAAAAATTAATCAAGGAAATGGAAAATTATGGAAAATGAAAATTTATGTTTAACCATATATACCGAAATACAAATAACTGCATTAGTGAAACAAAAGCGAATTAAATTGTTTCCAAATGGCACTTCAGAAAGCATTGTAATCAAATGATTATGCGTAAAATGATTGGTAGATATCAGCAATTTCCCTTGAAAAGCCTCCCCGAAGGTTGAAGAAAATTCTTCAAAATGTATGGGAGCAATTGAAAATCATATTTCTACACTTAAAAAACGTCTTTCGTCCCTCAATAAGAACACGATTCGTTTATTTTGCTGATTATGAACAGTCGTAAGAGTTTGACATTTAAATTGGAATGCATCCCTTGTGTCGGCAAGAAAAGTTAACCATCAAATAGGTAAATGGAAATAAATCATGTAAACTAATTCATTTTATTGTATTAAAAATAAGATTTTATTATTTGGTTTATTATTCATAATGTGTTATGTGATTTATTTTATGCGTTTTTGGTTATTTATGAAACTATTCAAAACAAATCATGAAA